GAACCCAGCAAGGACATGGCTCAGGAGGCTGTAGCAGCAGCTCCCAAATTCAGCAGCTGTAAGCAGTTCTTTGAATCAGTAGAGTTGCCATGAAGCCTTCATCCTACCAGCATCCATTTTCCAAGGTCCTCAGCCCAGCTTTGAAGCCAGGCTTGGCCTCTAGCAAGTAACTGCAAAACTAACTTCTTTCTCAGACCTGGTGCCAGCAGAGATTTGAAGTCCTGACACGCTCCTGTGGCACCGAGGTCCTTCTGTGGGTGGCAGCAGCAGCGGTGGCAAGATGGGGCTGGGAGAGAAAGCCAGAGGTACTGGCAGGACTCTCCTGGAGCAGGACTAAAGCCTGCCCTTGCAGGCAGGCCAGAGCAGGCACAGCACAGCCCTTAACGCAGGCTCACAGCATCCTTAACTCACTTTCTAGTTGGCAGGAAAAGGCACCTGACAGCTCAGCAAGACCTGCAGCCCCCCTGAAGACAAACATAGTCCCTCTTCATCCATCCTCTTGATCTCTTGCAGGTGGAGAGTAGCCAAAGGCATAGGCAGGATGATTTTTATGCCTTCCACTGAGTGCACAACTTCAAAAAAACAGGCTACACTTCAGGAGGAAAAACCCAGCTTGGCTTTCTGATTCCCACCTGGAGAGACCAGGGCCCCCAGAGGGCAAAAGCCCTATTTATATATATTCCATCTGGGCCAACAGAGCTTGTAATCACATCCGACCCTCCAGCCTGCTGTGCTCACTTTTAATCCCTCTCTCTGCATGGAGCAGCACCACCACTCAAGTGGAAACTGTGTACAAGGTCCCAGGGGCAGGTTCAGAAGAGGAAGCTGGGACGTGGCACAGAGTTCTCTGGGGCACCACTTCCCCTCTTCAGCATTACTTCAGACACATGCTAAGCAGGACAATGCTTCTCTCATCAGAACAGAGACACAAAAGAGAACCAGGAGAGCCTTTTCTGGGCTCAGCTAAAGTCCCAGGCTCAGACCTGGAAGGAATGGGGGTCCCAAAATTAAGGGCAGACAGAAGCACCGCTGACAACTGAGACCAAGGTTGGAGACAGCCAAAACGCAGCAGTCCCACCCATGGATGGAGGAGCTCAGCTCCTGTTTAGTTCAGCACAAGGCCCCCTACACCTCCCTAAGCACCCCAACACATCTGCCTGGGAATAACCCCCAGATCATAGGTAGGCAAAACGGGCTGGTGTTTGGGACCACAACCACAACCACCACATCAAGGTGAAGGGCTCTGAACGCGAAATGAGCGTGTTCACCCTGAACTGGTTTCAGCAGAGCTGCTGTCCTCCTTCTGTGTCTTTTATATTGTTGGGCTAATAACTAGACTTTACACACACTTCTCGCTTTTGTTTAAGAAAACACTAAACAGTCCTTTCCTGGGAATCCCGACAGCGGAGAGCTGTGAATGTCCTCCAGAACACTGTGAAGGCACACAGGAACTCCACATGTACAGTCAAAAATAGGTTTACTGGAATGTCTTTAGTCACAGCTGTAAGCAGCGATACTGAAAACACTGAGCTTGTGCATTCCCATGGCAGGACCAGAAAGTCTTCTGGATTGTAAAACCTAATTATTTCTTTTTTTCTGAACAAGAGAGAAACAACACCCTTGCAGTTCTTCACAGAAGGGACAGTTCCCTGTAACACAACGGTATGTTTCTCTTCAGACGTTTTCCCCTCTTTTGCTCCGATGAAAGGACAGTGTTCCCTCTGCCTTGCACAACAGGCAGCAGGGAACTGCTCAAATGGTATTATTATTATTAATATTACAACTCAACAATATATACAGATAAACTGTAGTGGCAAGTAGCCAGCTCCAAACCAGAGACCCAGAATTTCACAAAACAGGCGGTTTGGGAACTGAATTTTCTGTTATAGAAAAAGTCTGACAGCAGGAGTAGCTACTCGACTGAAAAAAAAAAAAGGGTCATTTGGCAGTTCTTAAAACACTCTGTTAGAACTGGCTACTTGCCGCTGCCTTCTCACTCCGTGGAGAAAAACAGCTTCAAAGCTATGTACAGATATCTCACTTAAATTACACAGCAGTTTGGTTATCCCAGAGCCAGCTCCGCCAAAGCCTCCAGCTGCCCCGTCAGGTATGGTACTTCAGGACTATGGGTACTGGAAAACACAAAGAAACAAGCTGTCAGCCTCATGCCTTCACATGCAACATGGATCCTTGCCAGAGAGATCCCCCCTGTTTCTTTAGTGACAAACACCAAGCAGCCGCGAGGGAAAGCGCGTTTCCAAGCTCAAGCTAATACAATCTGCTGCCTGCACACACAGTAGACAACATTTCCTGCCACCTTCATCTGCTTCCAGCTTCCCAAAATTAAACCAGATGGGATTTTCCATCAGTCTCTCTCTATCTCTCTCTCTCTCTCCCTCTCCCCCTCTCCCCCCCCAACCCCCCCCCCCTGCTGCCAGCTCTGCCTCTCCCGTGGCAGGCTGTGTGTCAGCAGGACAACAGGCTGTGAGGGTTTTGCCAAAGCAACGAGAACCATTACAAAGCTGCCCTCGGCCACGGTTGGTGGGAGGAAAACTCTCCAGACCCAGTGGCATGGAAGAGCTGTGCTGCCATGCTGGGCTGCCTGGATCCCTGGGGCCCATCATTCTGCAGGCAAAGGGCTGAGTTACTTCAGTTACTTCTTCCGCCTGGAAGAAACATGCTCTGGTTGTTATTACCTGTTTGGTAGGAAAAGCAGTGACATCTCTGCTCTGGGGAGCTCCAGAGAGACCAGGAAGGGCAGAGAGCAGGGGAAGGGACTGGAGGAGTGTTTGCTGGGAGCAGACCTATTGCTATATGTGGAGAGGCCTTTGGAAGGCGTTGCTCTGTCTGAAACTCTTTCATCTACTCCCATCAGCCTTGGGATCAGTCAGTGCCAACATTGAATCAGTACAGCATTGACAGAGCAGTGTTGGCTTTCTTCAGCAATAGTCAGTAGGACTTGGTTTGAGCCTGCTCCTCCGAGGAGTGTTTGCTGGGAGCAGACCTATTGCTATATGTGGAGAGGCCTTTGGAAGGCGTTGCTCTGTCTGAAACTCTTTCATCTACTCCCATCAGCCTTGGGATCAGTCAGTGCCAACATTGAATCAGTACAGCATTGACAGAGCAGTGTTGGCTTTCTTCAGCAATAGTCAGTAGGACTTGGTTTGAGCCTGCTCCTCCAGGTGTGTGTTTAAACCTTGCAGAAGAGCTGCAGGGAGTGGGCTACAGGCACCAGTTATGGCTGCTTAAGGCAGAACGGAACTTGACAGGAGTGGCTCCATTGCTCCCTTCCCCAGGGACACCAGCACCACAGTGTAACTCAGTATGTGGAGTATGAGCATGTCAATGCCAGACATGACTGGGGTGACCTGAAGCTACTCACCAATGATGACAAGCAAGAGAACGACCGCCACCAGCGCTATGATCGCCTTCATCTGCAAGGGGAGCACGGAAGCATGTTACACAGGGAGCCACGTGTAGCTGCTTCGACCTGAAAAGAGGCCTTTGCCTCCCAGCATCTTTTCAGGTAGAAAGCACAGCTTCTCCAGCCCCTTCCAGGGGAGGGCAGGTAACCTCCCCTCCACAAACCCACCCCTGCTTCTTCCAGTTCTCACTCACCTTGCAGCCTCGCCACCACATCTGTCTCCGAAGCTGCTTGGCTCTGCTGCTAAAAGCTGTTGCATTGTCTGATAAACTTTCTGTTGAAGGAAAGAAAGGAGGTCATTCAGCAGCGTGCACACAGTCAGAGCATCCACTCATTCCACTGAGTTTTGAGCAATAAACTCAGCATTAGGGGAACAGACCCAACCACAGCGGGATTCACCAAAGCCACAGCAGATGCCAATGTGACGCCCTTCGCGAGAGCACACACAGACCTGCCGAGCCCCACTGAGCCCCCTTTGTCCTGCCTGCCCTCTGAGGACAGGAATTCACTCTGCAAGCCAGCAAGCGAGCAGACAGCTGAAGCACTCAGGGCTGTTGGGAGACAGACCAATCTACCTTTGCTTGAAGGACCAACTAGATCATAGCACCCAAATGCCTCCAAACTAATGCCTCTGTACAGAGCAGCAGAAGGCAAAGGTGGAAAAAGGGGAACGTCAGCAGAAGGTCAGATCTGCAGCCCAAGGCTGGGAAACACCACCCCAAAGAAGGACAGAAATACAAGCCCAGGTCTGTCAAGGCACTTTCTGAACTGAAACCAGGTAACCTTGCCCAGCAACAGGGAAGAGATGTTGGGAAAAGTCCATCGGAGCTGCATTTAGCATCACACCTGATTTATCCTGCAGGTCATCCAGCCGCTCGCCTCTTTCAATCACCTTCGTGATGTTCTCCTGCATAACATCGATGACTTCGTCCACCTGGTTCTGGACACTAGAGCAGAGCAAAGGGGAGCATGAGGAGCAGGAGCAAGCATCACCAGCTGCACTGCAGCACCAGCCCTTGCTCAGAGTTGCCCAGGCTAATGGGGGTCAGAGAGCTCACTGACAACAATCAAAGAGGACAAGAGCAGAGGGAGGTTGATGGGATGCCAAGAAAGCCAGAGGCATGGCATCACCTGGGGTGGGTCTCTTGCAATCCCAGGAAGGGCGAGGGAACACAGGGGGCTCAAAGAGAACACTGGGGAGTCCACAGAAGCAGGACACCCTCTGTAACACCTTTAACACAAATGCAGAAAGGGAAGGCACTGACTGCTGCTGGGGGGCACCTCTGCTGCAGAAGAGTTCACATCAAAGGGAAGAAATATGAAAACTGCACCTCATCTTTCCAGATTTCACAGAACCTCACACTGCACCTTTGCTAAACAACGTGGGGTGAAATCAAAGCAACTGAGTTGCTAAATGAAACCCACTCTGCCAAGGGCATCAAGAGGACAGTGAAGAAAAGGCTGAGATGAACTCAACAAAGTTATAATAATCTATCTTCTCACAGGTTACGCAACTCTGTGGGTAGTTGCTTCAGCAAACAGTAGCCTAAATCACACCCGCGGGGTTATTATGAATGCATTTATTCACTCCATAAAAAAAGCCACACTGGTAAGAGAGAAAAATTCTCCTAGTGGAAAAATACTGCTACATTCTGGTCTGTATTTTGGAGCTAATACACTTTTATTTTCCTGGAGATAGAAATAAGACATTTCTTGGGGCCTTGGGGAGACAATACATTGTTTGAGACATACTGTTCCCGGAAAGTAAACAGCAACACCGATGTCTTGGAGGCAACTACACACAGGGCAACAAAACAGAAATAGCTCCAGGCCGCTCAGTCTGCCTAAGCCTTAGGTCTGATAACTTCGGTCACATTGATTACAAACATTTAAGGACTTCAAACATATCGAAAGGCATCCAGCATTTCCCAAATACGCAGTGCAAATAGGCCACTTCAACAGCTCTCCATGTTACCAGAAACACACACTTCCTATTAACAGTGTGTCACCGGTGTCCCCGAGGGACAGAAGGATTACCACCACCTCATCGTTTGTGCCTGCTTAGCACCCACTCTCTCCTGCTCCCCAAATTTTCCAGTCACAACATCTTCCTCTCTGAACCCATGGAAAACCCTCTCCTCCTCCTCACTGGCACCTCACAGATGCAGAAGCTCAAAGACATTATTTGCCAAACCACGGTTTTTCCATCGGAACCACACCCATCTCCACCACTCAGAGAACCATCGTCCAGCACCCAAGCTCCAAGCGCTTGGTATGACGAGGTATCCTCCACCACAGCCCTGGAAGCCAGGGCCAAGAGAGACTCAGAGCAACTTGCCCAAGGCCAGTCAATGGGGCACTGCACAACAAGGAACACAGGGCCCTGTCCTAGCCACGATGCTTCTAATTAGAGACATCAGTTCACATTAACCTATTCCTCCTGTCTCCCCACCAGCTACAAGCCTCTTGCCAAGCAGACATTTACGCCCAGATGCGCACACGAGGAGCAGCTGCAGCAAGCAATAGTGGTCGCAACGGAACAGTGCATGCCTTGCTCACGTTTACTTTTCATTCCAAACATAGGCAAGGAAAGTCATTAAAAGAAAAGGCTTTTTTTCTCCACACAAAGCTCCAGAAAGTGCTCCAGATGAAGGGAACATGAAGGGGCTTCCTATCTTAGCATTTCACATCAGGCTCTGTAGCACCACTGCACTACAGCTTCCAGAGCTGGAACAGCCAGGAAACCCCTCTGAAGCCAATTTCTGACGCAATAACCCTCGTATGGCACATGCCAGACTCCAGCAGTGCACGTAAAAATTGGTTTTATTTAGGACACCGCAAGAAAGGAACCTGCTTTCCCTGTGCTGCACCGCAGAGTCCGTGGGAGCAGCATCTCTCTGCGCCCACCTATACTGTGTGGTGGCAGCTCCTGTCGTTTGCAGCCGCCTGCCAAGAGTTTCTTACCTGGAGGGGAAAGGCACAGATAATGCCCAAACGCCTCTCAGCAGGAACCTGGCCATGCCCACAAGCCCATTTCGATCCACCATTTGCTTTACAAGGCATGAGGTGAGCAACAGAGCTGCCACTGTTGGGAAAGCACGGAATTTGGCACTGAGGACACAGGCAGATGCTGCCCAGGAAACACGTGGTGGTGCCCTGTGGAGCAGTGTCCACCCCATGCAGGACATGTACAGCCCCATGGCCTGCCCTTGGGGCAGCAGGTGAGGACGTGGGGAGGAGGCACGCTCTGCAAGGGGGTTTCCTTACCTCAGCACAACAGACAAGTCCCAGCTCTGAGCCGCCAGCCACACTGCTGTAGCTCAGGGCGAAAGAGGAAGAGCAGAAACATCTGCTATCCCAGATGAGCCAACTTGGCAAAAACATGAGTTTCACAGGCAGAAGGCTACATTTGCAGTATGTAAATGTTTGTAAAATCATTTACTGACTTCAAAATAAAGAGATTTCCTCCCACAACAGATTTGTAACCATCTTGGTACAACTAACAAGCAGGAGTACGCAAGGTTACAATGTGCCTGGGAACGTGCAGCGCAACGCAATGCCACCTGTATCCCCACCAGTACAGGTCAGAGCCTGGAGAGATGCTGCTGCAGTCCCAGGGCACCCTGCAGCGTTCGAGGCAGAGTGGGCAGGTATGTAACTGCAAGCTGCTCTGCTGCGAACCAGCATTTGGGAGAGACCCATGGAGCACAGACCCTTACTGCCCAAGCTGCATCTCAGCATCCTACCTCTTTTCACTTGAGCTGTTGGTGAAACGCTGCGTGCCTTTGCTGCCTGCCCCTAGGCTGGGCGTGCCGTTAGCCATCCCTCCAAGAGACCAAAACATTTCACAGATGGAGAACAGAGAAATCAAGACTTAAAGTCTCACAAACGTTGAAGTGTCTAACTCCCATGGAACACAGACGCATTTGAGCACCGCAATATCTTTTGGCATTTCATGTAAAAGATAACCCTGGAGAAAAAAAAAAACAGGAAGGAAGAGACCAAGCCAGGGAATGAAACTTTGATCTCCACACAGTGCCTTAACCAGACCTTAAGCCAGTCCTTGCTTTCTGCTCCCTCCCACCCATCACTGCTGCAAGAGATGGCTCTCCAGGAGGGAGCTGAAAGATACCCCGCCTGTGCATTAGCCCTGCAGCTTCAGAGCAAATACAACAATTCCCACTAGTCTGGCATGCTTGAGATTGAAAACTCAAGTCACATCAAGAAGAAAATATTTTCTTCTTTTATTTGGAAAGAGAGAATGAATCCTCTAATACAAAGTGTATTTCCTGTTAGGGAGCTGTTGGCTTCTCACGCATACATTTCATGTGCTTCTCTCCTGCCAGATTTCCAAGAGAAATAAAGTAGAACAAACACCTGCCAGGAAAGAGAGCAAGACCAAAGCATAAAATATGTCTCCCATGACCCCTCTTACTATTTACTGCAAATATGATGCTCCTAACAATGAGAGCAAGTGCGCACTGTCAAAATAACAAGAGATCCAACAGCGCTTAGCCTGGTTTAGGCTCCTTCCTTGTGCTTTGCCTGGTCCAGAGCACGAGGAATAAGCCTTTCCATTTTGGCTGCACTGGGTTAGCTACTGAAAAACTCCCTGGGCTGGTCACGGTGTTGGGCTAACAACAGTACTGCATTCTTCAGGCACCGTAAACAGGCCATGCACGCACCAGGGGATGTGCTGCTCAAGGCTGCTTCTTGTCTCCAAGCCGGCTGTTTACAGCCAGCATGACACACTTATATTTTCCACCCCAGCGATATTAATAGCGTGGCGTATTTTGGTGCAAATTACATCCAAACACCCCTCGTTGTGGCAGTAACCCAGGGAAGAGGGAACAAGATGGAGAGCCAAGCCGGACACAGGCAGGAAGCCAGCACAGCACAGTGCTCCTTGAGGCACGGCTCTCTGCAGAGGGGCTGCCCAGCAGATTGCTCTGCTGTACTCAACAATGAGGTATGAGTGCGGAACCGTGCCACAAATCCCTGGTTTTGAGTTGCTGCTTCATGATGGCTGCGAGGAAGGCAGCAGCCTATGCTTTTCTGAAGCCTTTCAGTCCTTGGATTACACCCAGCAATGATACCTGACAACACGGCCTCAGTACCACCTTCAGATGGAAGCCTGGAGTACAGATGGGGTTCACTGCATAACCAGCCACCTGCTACGAGCAGCCAGGCCGTGGGAAGTTGCTGTAAACTCTTGCGTCAAACCATTCCCCAAACCCTTCCTTCCTCAGAAGGTAATTTGGGGCTTGCAGCCAGACAGAGCCACTGAGGCCAAGCCCCGGGGCCGTGGATGCTGACCACTCCCAGCAGAGCAATGGCGGAATCACTGATACCAAGACCTGGCTCCCAGCGAACCACAGCAGTGTGCCGAGCCTCATTGCCAGCATGAGCGGGAACCTGAATCCAGCAGCACGGTTGCCTGAGAGCAGAAACATCAGCGGTGAAGAAAGTCAAGCAGTGCAGAAAAGGGGGAGATTTTGGTAGCATTTTTGAAAATATGACCTGTGATGAGAAGCTCCTATTCTAAATAAAACACCCAGGTGGAAGATGGAACGTCCCACCTTCCCCCAAAAAGGCACAAATAGCTCTCACAACACACATTGAGGATTTCTCACAAAGCCTAGAAGCAAAGGCAGAGAAGAGAGATCAGCTCTCCCTTACCTGTTGTTTGTAACTTTGGGAAAAGGATAAAAGCCCGTTAAAAGGTCCCTTTCAGCTCCAGCCCACCCTAGGGACAGGGATGTCTCAGAGGGAGCCTACGGGACCCCATGAGGCCACTTAATTACTGGGGGAGCGTCCGTTCCGACAACAGTGCCTGAACTTCCAGACCTATCAGGACAAAACACAGTATGGAGGGGACTGGGACACTTCCTTCTGCCACTATTACTGAGTCTAACTTCTCTTACGAGGTTTGCAGTGTTCCCCACCATCTCTTTCTGCAGCTGAGCCAGCCTTGAGGGTCTCTGCTGCCAAACTCTCCACCCCTGACCAAGCCCCTTCGCTGCCAAAGACAACTAGAAAAAGTTTCCAGTCTTGCCCCTCACATTCAACGTGTTTCACATCTCTGCTCCCATAATCCCATCACTTTTGCCTCTACCCAATCCTCTATCCAGTTTCCTTCTACGCCTGTCTTCACACCTCATTCCTCCAGCCCCATGCAGCTATGGTCTCTCTAGTTTTGTCCAGCTATGCCTCAGCTCTCCAAATGCTCAAATTCCTCCTTAAAGATGTCTTTTCCTTACACTGTTCCAGAAGCAATCCAACTCTCCTTTTCCTACTCTGTTGAAACCAGAGCAAACTGCATCATTACAAGACCAGGCATCAATGCATCCAGCACAGGGGCTGGTCTGATCAGAAACTTAACCATAAGCTCCATGACAGAAATGACGACTGCACCCTGTGAGTGCTTATTAAACAAAGCAACCAACATTGATGAGAGCAGAAAATAGGATCTATTTTATAACAGATCCTCTAGGTACTAGATAGATGTAGCCACTTGCTACCCCAAGGGACACATCCCATACCAGGTCTACTAGACAGGTCATCTCTGGCAACGGGCAAGCCTCACGTGTGTTGGGCATTAGTCACACCACACCTATGAAACCACCAGCTCCTGGGTGAATTCTTCTTTCATTTTTCTTCTTCTTCACAGCTGCAGTGCTATCCTCTACCCAAGCCCCTGCTCCCTTCTGCCTTGCCAAGACAGTGGGAAGAGAAGAGCTTCTGTTTTCCCCAGACACACCAGGGAGGCAGAAGCCACTCTGTAATTCCTTTCCAGCAGAGGAGGACGAAGGGGTAGACATCATCTCTTCTCTACCTTTTTATGGGGGCGGGACCCCACTCATAAAACTAATTCTCATCCTTCCCATTTGCTCCAGGCCAGTGTGGCACTGCCCTAGAAGGGAGGCTTTATCCATGCTGGTGTACTTTAAGGACCAGTGTGCCTCTACTGACTGCATCCTCACACCCTGGTGGGAACAGAGACCCCTTGGAAACTCAGTGGGCATAGTGGCCGACCCACTGCCTCCTGTGTAACTTGAGTGCACTTTGCCCCTCAAGGAAATGTGGCAAGTGGGGACACAGGCAAGCTCTGCCTAACGCTGACGTTGGCAATGAGTCATCTCAGAGCTGCACTGGCTTCTTCCCGGCATGAAAAAAGTGCCTAATGAAGAGCAACACTCAGGCTCCACGCAAGACGATCCAGTCTAATTAACACCTGGTCATTAGTGCCCACACAGATCTGTTCTGGCTCCACAGAGGTCAGCAAAGGAAAGAGCATAACGCAAAACAGGGATCTGGGAATATCACCCTCTTTCCACTACATACCACCATCGCATCCCTCATAGGAAAGGACAGGGCAAACTGGAGCCCAGACAAGCATCATGCAGGAAATGACTCGATGGGATAAGGATCCAGGGTGTGCACCCCTTCCTTCTTGCCCTATTACAGTCAATAATCCTCCTCCAGCTGTAATGGTTTCCTGTTTTCCAGCTGCTTTGACCCCAGTGAGTCACTGGTCATCTCCAGGTCACCTATATCAGGTTTTTATCTGGACAAGAAGCAGCCAGAGGACCTGCCACTGCCCAAAAAACGGGCCTGGTGTGCTCCTGACCACTTGCTTTCTTGAAACATTGAGGAAAAGGTTACAGGACAAAGAAGAAAGCAATGAAATAATAAAAAAGGTGGTAGTGAAGGTTAAAATTCAGGGTTAACACTCTAGGAAAAAAGCCTCATAAAAGCATGGAACACGTCATCACCAGAATACAGCAAGGGCTTTAGAAACTCCACTAAGCTACTGTGATACAATCCTACCCCTTCACAGCTGCCAAGGCACAATTTCTTGATAGCCTGAATCAATCTGAGATTTCCCTTAGCTGTGGACACATAGGGTAAGAAATGTCAATTAGAAGAAAGCAAGCACGAGCCATGTTCATCTTCAGAACTACACAGAAACACTCTGGTAAGACAGAAGCAGGAGATCGCAGTGCCAGAACAAAACATTATCTGTGTGACACTGAAGAACAACAACTTACTGCCTGATCTTGTCATTCCTGGGTCCAAATCTTGGTCCAGAAGGCCCTCTCCTGCAGGCAGAAAAGAGAGCAATCAGGATGGAAGATAAGTATTTAAACCAAAGACTCAAAGACAGAAACAATGCCTTGTGGATGGAGGCTTGTTCTCATGCCTCCTGTCAGTTCCTCCCACGTCTTAGGATATGTGGGACACCCCACTCTTACACAGGTCACATCTATTAAGTCTTAATTCACACTCGGTGCCAAGGCTCCGGGAGATCGTTTCAAAGGAATCAAAGGTTTTGATTCCCAAGCCCCCACCCATGTGGCAGGGAGCAGCTTTTGGTATTCTACACCTCCAGTCTTGGAGCTGTAGGCAGTTAGACATCACATTCCCTACAGCAGCTGTTCAGAAACTCACAAGAAAAAGTCTTCCTCTTCATCCGAATCTTCCTCCAACAGGTTCCTCTGCAAATACAGAAAAAAAACAAACCACCTTGTCAATAAGCAGCCACTGTTTCACACACACACACACACACACACATTTCCAGACCTTAGGATGCAGTCAGCATTCTCCAACTGCAGTTTACGCGCAAGCTCTCCTCTGGAGAGCACCAATGGTACTTTTCAGGTGTCTGGAGTCGAGCTGTTTCCCTCTGCTCGCAATCAGCGGCCGAGCTGGATGTCTCTGTGCCATTATTCTCACCTCAGCAGTGTTTGCTAGCTCTGTACAGCACAGACTGACACACAACTCGCACCTCTGCCACTGCACCAGACTGGATTTGTGTCAACGTCCAGTTGCCTACGGAGGTTCAGATCCCAATCCTAGGGATCAGTGCAACTCCCTACAATGCAGAACCAACCAGTGCGTCAGCACGTTGAGCCCTGCCTTGGGAAGCAGCAGGCAGAGCTCCTGGGCAGGCCAGCTGTGGGAGGAAGGCCCTCTGTGCTCAAGGGACAATCCCCAGTGCTGCACTCAGTCAACGGGAGCTACTCAAAAAACATCAGCATGGCGTACCACCACCCTGGGGTATCCCACCCACGTAGGAAGTAACGTGGCTTCTCCAGCCATATGGTAGCAGCATCATTTTCCCAATTGAGCGGAGAGCTCCTAGTAACATCTACTTAGGATCAAAAATAATCAAAGGGGGGGAACTGGTCCCCTAAATGTGTGGGCCTAGGAACACACGGGTCCCCTAAATGTGTGGGCCTAGGAACACACAAGATGGTCCTTATGGTACCAAAAACTGCTGCTTCCCCTGTGTGTAGATTTGGGCTCCCACCTGCAAGTGTAGTGCTCCTGTTTTGAAGCTTACCTACGTTCCCATCCTTGTCACATTTGCTCCATCAACTAAAGCAACCCGCCAGACCGTGCAACAGTTTCAGCCATCGTCTCCCCCAAGGGATGAACTTTTTTTTGGCAACACGGGATCTTCAGCTCACTGACAGCTGTCGTGAGCTGAAGAAACGTTTTGCACTACAGTCCAAACTCGGTTTTAGCACAGCATGACCCCAGGACAAACACATCAGGCTGAGTTTGCTTTGTCTAAACCAGGCGACTGCATCACTTTAACCCGTGTTTCAAAGCCTGAAACATCAGGGGACCTTGGTGACAGGAGAAAAATTCAGCTGTAAAGCTTCGCACGCATCCTTCAGCCAGCAACGTGGGGAAGAGCACCGCAATGCTCCGAGGCCACGCTCTGCGAGAAGCAGGAGACCAGAGCACGCAGGGATCTCACAGACGCAGCCCAGAGGAACCAAAACCGGTTCTCAAAACAGCCGTATCTCCTGTCGGGGTTTGGTTTAAAGCACGCAGATTAGGGTTGCTGTGTGGACAGTCCCCGCGCTAACCAAAAGTCGCTGTCGACAGCAATATGGCTCCTGGGCTCACAGCTGAAGGCCGCAGCAGCGAGGGCCCCTTCGGCAAAGGGAGCTGTAACGTGCCTCGCACCGGCGGTACCGGCGCCGGTAACGGTGCCACAGCGGGCTGCCACCTGGACCCGGTGACGGTGCCACAGCGGGCCGCCCCTCGGGCAG